TCTCTTTCTGTCCAGTTAGCACTCCTCACTCTCTTACTTGATTCAGCCATATTTCAGTTTCAATCACAAGCAGACGACTATGTGAAACTTACCTTCACCCCGGCTCGCGCTTTGACAGTTTACGGGAAAAAAGCACGAAAAAGTATTAGCGTTATTTACCTCTTTTCAAAAAGAGTTCGAAATCGGACCGCTTACGCCGTTGCAAATTCTACTCAACTTTTCCTCAGTTGAGGACGTCCTCAAGTCGATTGAGGAATCTTTATACAAGTCATATTTGAGGAAATCTCAACTAAGGAAAATCTCAAGTTAAGGAAATCTCAAATTGAGATTTTTTATACAAGTGGACCCGGGTATGTCTTTTATTAGACATTTGTATAAATTCTGGTGAAATTCTGTTAAAAAAATCAGTTAAATAGTGTTGAAGTTGAATTCATCTATGAGTTTCTATAAATAGTAACAGGACCTCGGCTGTAACCTTGGAACCATGACACATACTAATGTCTTAAATACACTCGTACTTGATACTTGTATGAAGTTTGACCAAAAACTGAGACAGATTGAAGTTATTAAATGTAGAAGTTGAATCAACAAATGATTTCTATTTATAGTAACTGACCTTGGTCTTGACCTTGAGATCCAGAGACACATTAGAATGTCTTTATAAGTATTTTTGAACTTGATGAACTTGCCATGCAATACTTACACAAACATACTGGCAAACAGGCGCCTGTGAGTCTGCCTTCCTTTTCCCAGATGGAACATCTTCATCATTCTTTTAAAATAAGAATAATGATATATACCAGGGGGTAATAACAAAAACAAAACTAAAAGTAAACTTTAGACACAAATGTGTTTTCCTAGGCCTTTTGCTATGAAGCTTTTCATGATTTTTTTTCTCAGGAAAATTATTTATGAGTAAATAGTTGATATGTTTAGAAAAAATATTCCCCTAAAACACTTCAAACTAGAATACCGACAGGTCAGCAAGGGCCCTGCACTGTGGCCACATATACCTACAACACCCATCACCCTCAACAAATTATTGTAAGAGTGCCTATGTTCACAAACCTATTGCAAAGACAGCATCATTCAACATTCCTATTGGATGCCATTGTATTTATATTCCACCTGGATGGGCGCAAAATCTGTGACACCATTGAGGACCTGTAGCACCTCCTGCATTTTTCCCAGATTTCCTATTTGGGCCCAAAATATTTCTCAATGCACTTGCCAAAGACAAACTTGTGGGCCGAAATGGGATAGATGTGCTGCATGCTTTTCCTGATTCTTCTCTCGTGTGAGTCTCGGGTGCTGTTGCGGTCAATGCCGCTGCAGCCTCGCGTAAATATTCCGCTGCTCTTGCCGAGCTCAACACTATAGGAAAGTTTTAAAAAAACACGTTTACTTATTATAAAGGTGTGTATTAACTATTAACGGTTTATTTAAAAACCATTTTCCTTTTCTCCAACAGTTAATGATGTTTTCCATGCTTATCTTGCCAAATCAGCCTTAAATAAAGCTTCTATAATATTTTATCTGTAATCTGTGATGAATTTATCGATTGAATTTGTTTTAATAATTTACCAACAAATCTGTCTGAAACTAAACACGGCTTCAGATGTAGGCCTACCTAGATCTTGCTTCTTAAATCTACCCCAAACACACATTGTAACTGTTCTACCTAACTGAACCGATCTAACCAACGGAGGTGTACACAATACATGTCCATTTACCTGCAACAAAATCATGTGGTACAAACTAAAGATTTATTAGCTAAATATCTTGTGTTAACAAGATAACATCACTTACTTAATTTAATCTCTTCCGTCGGTACCCGCCAACCGGCCGTAATCCGTTTCGTATCCCGCGGTTAACTGCCGTATTCCGATTCGCTTCCGGTTTGTAGGGAGAAAGCTTTATTTTCGATTGCGATTAAAGCGCCGCTTGTTGTCATAATGAGGAACTATAATTTTATTTCCTCATTATGACGACAAGCGGCGCCCAATCCAAAACCCTAGTTTCGGATTTTTGTCATTACTGATTTCGGAACGGTTACAAAACTTAAATAGATTTTTTATTTTTTTTAAACTATGTGAAATCGAGATGGGTTGACCTCGTATTAAAATGGAATGAAAACTTGCATCGCATGCAATCGATTTGAAAACGAACGCACCGATACAAATGTGCATAGCACATCAAATAGATCCTTGACGACGAATAAATATTTAAAATAGACATAGAATAAGATTTATATGTAGAATGAATCTGCAGGTAATAGATTATCAAGCTAGTGCAATAATACAAATATACATGGCATAGAAAATAGACACTTCTCGGCGAAGAAAACAACACATATGAACATAGAACCAAATTTAAAAGGGAGAAAATAACTAACATAATTATGGCGGTAATCCCCCTCCATAAGGATGCGAACATACGTGACTTTTACGCCATTAACGGCAGCATGTTCAAGAACAGAGTTGACAACTTCTCTATATGTGCCGTCAGCCTTTATCCTTGGCATTAAAATACGTTTTTGTGCGTTTTTTCCTCTGAACACCCTGGAACACAGTTTGATTGTTCATCTGGTTCCTTGTGCGTGTGGGCCTTGCCCTCTTCCCGTAAACTTCTCCGAGTTCGAGATACCTGTCTTCTAGGACCAGCCGCGACATTGCGGAAACTCTAAAAACATATAGACCATATCAACATCATTTTAACCTATAATTGATGACTGAACAACTTTTGTGTGTAGAGAATTGACCTTCTTTTCTGTACAAATGTACATTTATCAGAGTTTCTTATCTCTCTGCCAAAACGAAATCATTTTCCATTTCTAAAAATGACCTCTTCTCGAAGCCACAGAGACGCCTGACTTCAATTTGTCATCGTCATCTGTGTCTCATTCCCAGAGAATCAGCCATTAACTGTATCACTGTATTAAATAGTCTTCTTCTACTTAAGCTTGGGTTTAAACTACGTCTGATATTGTGCAGTCTCCCCCTTTTTCGCCTCAGCTTGCGAGGTTGAGTTGAGTTTTTTGTTTATGATATCGATTTACTGACGCTGAGCTTGAGTTTTTGAATTCGTACTCAGATCTCAAATTGAGTCGGTCTCAAGTACGTTTGTAATACCGAAGCCAGATGGAACGGCTGGCAAAAATACTTCGCTCCAAGATATGTTCACTCAAACGCATACTGCATTAACAGACATTTATTACGTGTTAAATTGTTACATAGACGCAAATTAAAACACGAGTTTTACGTACTATATACACCACGAGCACAACATTGTGTAGGTATACATGCAATATTGGAATCGGTTACTTTGCCTGAAAAAAAGCCTAAGAAGCGTTGTTCTCTGTAATCATCATTTACTAGTCTTATGAACATAGCCTGGACAGTTAGCCATTAGCTTGTCGAGTTGTCAGGACGAACCGGGTCATCCCAGCTGTATCACGGATAGATCGTCTTGAGCTATCCAGGAAAGGCAACTTTACCCTTTTAAATGATATCTGGCGGGTTTCCCGCCTTTTTTTAGCGAGGTAGTCACCACTAATCTTGCTAAGCAACAACTTCAACATGGACACTCCGGCTCAAAATGACAACCAAACAAAAACAAAACAAAAACATACAAACGAACACTAGTTGTAGAATGATGACTACGAGCCATTTCTATTTACAGTTTATCTAAGTTCAAAATATTTATTTACATATTGTATCTCCACTCTCTGGTGTCCACACAACACTCTCTCTCTTCTCAGAACGCGATAATCCTTTACATATCATCGTTCAACCTCAACGACCACACACGACATTCTGTTCCAACGACTCTGTTTAATTTCAATGATCACTTTCTCTAATTTCCTGTTAATTGACTTTCAACCGCAATCGAATTAAGTCATATTCACTCTCTTAATAATCCCCATACTAATGTTAAACAATAAATATCCTCTTCATACCATGGACAATCTCTGATTTCCACGGCTGGCCACTCTGACAGTGGATCTCTCTTTTATCATCTCCATCTATCTCTCTGCCTAAATGTCACTCCCCTACTCTCTGCCTAAATGTCTCTCCCCTACTCTCTGTCTCTCTGCCTAAATGTACTCTCTCCCTATGTCTCTCCCTCTCTCTCTAAATGTCTCTCTGCCTAAATGTCTCTCTCTCTCCGTCTCTCTGCCTAAATGTCTCTCCCCTACTCTCCGTCTCTCTGCCTAAATGTCTCTCCCCTACTCTCTGCCTAAATGTCACTCCCCTACTCTCTGCCTAAATGTCACTCCCCTACTCTCTGCCTAAATGTCTCTCCCCTACTCTCCGTCTCTCTGCCTAAATGTCTCTCCCCTACTCTCCGTCTCTCTGCCTAAATGTCTCTGCCCTCTCCCCTACTCTCCGTCTCTCTGCCTAAATGTCTCTCCCCTACTCTCTGTCTCTCTGCCTAAATGTCTCTCCCCTACTCTCTGTCTCTCTGCCTAAATGTCTCTCCCCTCTCTCTGTCTCTCTCAGTCCCTGCTCTAGCTCTATATAAGATATATCTAAGATGTAGTTTTGTAAGAAAGTATTTATTCAGCCATGAAATTTTAGTAGATCTCTCTCTCCCTCTCGCTCTTAATTAAAAATAATATGTATATAATTATTTTGAGCCAGCTCGAAATGTGTATAATGTAATTGTGTTTCTACTGAATGAAATGGCGTTAATAATGTTCAAGTTGTAACTTGTGCCCAATTCTTTATATAAAATGTTATATTTTTTCCATAGGAATTTGTTACAAATATCACGTACGTACGTGATATTTGTCACGTACATATATGTAAACACTCATACATATATCAAAAGTTGTGAGCGTTGCCTGTGTCATTTGTATACGGATGCATAGGGACGCACTGTCTCTTATTGGACATGAGTGTAATCACACCGTGACACACAGAATACAACCTATCACATAGCACCACGCATAGATACCGGCGCAAAGGACTCTGGGAGAGATTGCGTGGGTGTCGGCGATGTGTCAGCCTATGTCCATATAGCGTTTAAAGCATGAATACTTGAACGGAATAACTTCATGGTTTGGACACTGGTTCCGAATATCATGCCGCCAGCGACATTGGATGTCGTAGGATGTTGGCAAAACGTCGCCACGATACGTGACACGGCGGAATTGTGTCGGTGAAAGAGTGGGACTATGGATACGTCATGGGCAATACCAAGTCATAGGTGACTACTGATTACCTCCTACTGACAGGGATTTCCATCCATTTTACAAAGTCAGCGGTATTTCACCGCATGGTATCTGGCATTCTTTCTGTAGAGGAAGACGTTTGAATTTTACCATTCACATGTCGTTATCTCTTCACAGGACCCCCACACATGGATATAATTATGTTAGTGTAACTTTACTTTTTAAATACTTTTTAACTTGACTTTGTCACGATTCTTGCACATACATGTATACACTGTTGTGATAGTCACCTATAGGAAAATATAATTTGTGTGTAGTAAACTTCTGCAGAACAAGCTCCGACAATTATCAAACAGATTGCATGTTTCACATTAAACTGAAGTAAGTTCACATGATTTCGACTCGGCACGTTTCTTCATATTTTGATTCGTATAACCAGAGACGTATATATACGTCTCTGAGTGAAGGCAGTCGTATTAAAATAATAGTGATAATAAAACCACGCTTACGATTCAGTACATCACTGTATTTATTATACATAGTACTTTTTTTTAGCTTTTTGATAAAATATTAGTCTCCCTTACATTTAATATTCAACTCTCTTCACTTGGAAAACAAAGAGCGCAGCTATTTGGGAAAAATGACAAGTCCGGTCCTTCCTGGTTCGTTTGGAAAATTAGAAAGTTTGCGAAGAACCCAGGAAGATTGTATTTAGCTGACAAATCACCTTGCACTTAAATCAGATTCCGTACATTGAGTTACGTTTTTGGAAATCAAATCCGTAGTTAACGAATTGATACACAATATGTTGTGTCGTGCAGTATATTCTGGTCAAGACTGGCCAGTACTCTTGCCTTTAGTAAACCCCACCATTTTCTCTGTGCGGTCAGCGGCCCTTTGTCATAGCTTTTTCTAACGTACACATGCGAGAAGACACGGCAAGAAGCACACCAGGAAACCGGTTTTTCGCCTTTTTAGACTTCCATGAATCTGGTATCTATCTAGGATAACTAGATCTTCGTTGCGCAGATCGCAGAAGTAAATTCACACACTGAAAAATACTGTTAGTCTGGCGAAGGAAAGCTACTTGAGTTACGTAACTAGCACAGGTTACATAAATTGAGCCCGAGAAACCATCAAGACGAAACGGTTGCTGGTACAACAACTTATGGTCAAAGGTATTCATGGTTCTTCTTGGAACAAGGATTCTGTTACGATTACATTGGCCGACCCTGTATACTGCGTACAATATTGGCCAACATTTGGAGCTTCCATTGGGTATAATTCGTTTGTTCATATATTCAGAGACATATATATTAACACATGTTATATGTCTCTGATATATTTCAGCCTTAAAATATTGCATTTACATGATTTTTGAAGGAAATGCCTTGAATGATATAATTGTGGCCAATCTTCATAATCCTGTAATTATTAAATGGATCATGCTTCTGAAGACTTAGTGCTCTGATATCTCTACAGGTGTGCTGGCTGTAAAGATGGATCACAGGCGCTTGGTTCAATTGACAAGTAAAAAAATACATAGTTTAATCCAGTATTGGGTACTCTGTATCCCTGATGCTGTACTCGGATAATTTTATTTATCAATAGAAACATGCTACTATGATGAGTTGGTAATGTATGTTTTCTTTTTAAAATATGTTGTGTTTTCTTTTCAGCAAAAAATATGCCGAAACGGGAATTAAAACAACACACTGCTGACACGGAGGGAAAAAAACCTAAAAAGGCAAAAGTTCAGGTGAACAAACCAAAGAACTACGCAAAGCTTATTGATGATGCAACAAATTTTGAGGTGGGCATTAAAATATGTTCATATTTTTGTGAGCATTCAGTTTGATTAATTAAAAAGCAATGTCAAATTACATGAATTGTGTAACCATTGTATAGCAATTTAGTAGATGAACAAGAACACATTTTATAAAATTTGAAAAGAAAAACAAAACAAAACCATCCAAACAACCAAGATTCTGGTATCTGCCTTTCATATATACAGTACACCAAGCATTATTTGAGACAGCAATATTTCACCAGGTGGTCAGGTGGCACAGTGGTAACACACTTACCTTTTGCCTAGTGTACTTCAAATTATAAGATACAAAATGAAATATATACAGATGTTAGGATTTAATTGGAACTTATTTTTCAGACAACTGATCTCAAATTTACTGAAGAAATTCCATCTAAAAACAAAAATGGTCAGTTAGAGTTCCCAGATTGGCCGGAATTCCGACCTAACTTGACTCCAAAAGAAGTTTTACAGGCTGGGAGTTTTGGAGGAACATACTTCCGCTCGATCAGATCAGGCGCAACAGGTAAATGTTTCCTGTCATCTCACCTGGCACAAACAATATTGTCAAGCGATGTGTTAAAAATTTGAGGGAAACCACAACATCCAAGTCATCTGCCTAAACTGACTCGGATGATTTTAAAATTAAATGCAGCATGTACAACTGATATCTTGATTGAAGATCGGTTTTAAATTTTATTGAAAAGCAGCAGAGAACTAATATGTAAGAGCTGGTAAGATATTAATTTACAGATCTCTGTCACTCATCTTATCAAAGGTTTTTTAGAGATTGTAGTTGGAATTATATCTAATGTAGGTAATTTTTCTCATTACAGGTAAAAGCTACTCGGGTACAGAAGTCTACAAAGAACTACCTTGTGATTGGTTTGAGGGACTGAACATTGCCAAGCAGGTATGTCTGTAAAAGAGGTGCTGTGAAATTAATTTTTATGTATCCTAAATATGTTACTTTATCATAATTTAATTCACCAAAATGATCTATTGGTTTTGAGAATAATGAAATAAAGAACCTTTCTCTACTTTATCCCAGGATTCTAAAATAAATCACTTCTGTCCATGGTCCCGTTTCCTTTGTACTACCTCAAAGCAAGTTATCGGTTAAATTGTGTGGGTAGTGTCTAAAACAAACCGGGAAGTACTGGGTTGGGACAGACAATTTACTAGAATTAACTTAACAAAGAATCACAATTAAATGATTGAATTGAAGATGTCACCTAACTCTTGAATATTTGGAGTGGTCTCGGAAATGAAAATAGGGATAGACATAGCAGGTATTTTGCATTTATTATAAAATTGTCTCCTGTATTTGTTGATAGGAAAACCAATTTCATATCGAGGATGCTGTTTACTTTTATACCATTGAAACTTTGGTTTCACTTGCCCTACATACCTGGTGAAATATAGCTTTACATACATAATGTATTGTCATACAGCATCACATTGTCTCTTCATCACAAGGGTTTCTTTATCAATCAGTTAGACCAGAGTTGTTCAATAGGCTTATTTTGAGCTCTGATGAGCTTTCTCAAAGGCTTGTATTAATTTCTGCAGGTATGTCTTGATTTAAGCCAGAATTATTACATTTAATTATTGGAGAACTGTTCTATTTCACATAAATGAAAGCTGCCATTGTGTTTTATCACATGATATAATTATACAACTTCGGAAGAGATTGTATAATCAAAGTTGTTGAAGAGGTCAAACAATTCAAACACATCTATGTTGAGGAAACCATTCATTAGATTTGTCAGTCAGTTTCTTTATTCCTACCTGTGTACAGGTGACTAGTGCTTCATACCGCACAGAGGTCAACACCTATAAGGTCAAATGTGGAGGAAGTCTTGACATGTGGGAAGAGAGTGGATGGATACACAAACAAGATCCCTATGGCTGGTTCCAGTGGTATTGTAGGTAAGGTCTTCTTTAAATTGTAACCTTTACTACGTTGGGGTTTTCTGAATCCATGGCCTGAAATGTCTTTTCATTGTTGACAGGCAGAAACAACAACACAAAAATAGAAATTTCTGGATCCTTATTTGGCCCTCTGTGGTTAGCCTTGACTATGTATTTAACCTTGAGTTGATGTAGATTTTGTATCCAGAGTTAACTTTTGTAGGTTTTACCAAGGCAGACGGACATCTGACGATGAACGACAGGTTGGGCGCTGGCTACGGTGTGCCGGTGTTACTGGGAGGTGGAGAAACAATCTAATCTCAAAGTGTGTTAAGACGGGATGTAGCTACGACAACAAGGCGGTCTCACCAGTCGTTAGACAGACGCTCCAGCACTGGGCCTACAAACTCAACAGTGATGATTTTAATGCATATGTCAAGAAAAAGGGAATTAAATAGGGGAGGGGGGAAACTGGGACAAAAAGAAGAAATAATGAGAATTTTTGTTTGAGTAAAGCTGACTTGCCCATCACTAGTAAAATCATAGGAATTCAGATATAGCAATATGTGCTTTATATAATGTTTATATTTTTATAACTATGATTCACTTCTGCTGAGGAAAATGAATTTGGGAAATATTCCCAATATTTAGAAATTCCGAAAAAGAGTGTGTAAAAATCATGTGTAAAGAAAATCAGATGTACTCAAAATGCAGCTCAAAAATTGTGATTTTCATCCTGAAGAAGCCCAGGAGGGCAAAACCGGTAGACGATTAATAATAAAGTCAAGGAATAATCACTCTGCAGACTGTTGTGATTGATATTTATTATCTGATTCTCTCTTCTGATCAATCACCCGGCATACCTGGGGATATCCAGCTGAGGAGTGGAGGCATCTACTATCCACCCAACAAGAACGCACGGCGTTGGCTCTAGTGCCTGAACTCATGTGTAAAGAAAGATATATTTTTAGGGATGCATAGAAAAAGTTCTTATGAAAGAAGGTGGAAAGTCTGTTTGAAGAATGTTTTTCATGGAAAATTTTTTTTTTAAAGCATTAAGTTTTAGACAATTGAAATGTGTTGAAAAGATCATTTTGGGAGTGTGAAAGGAAAAAGATTGATTTGAATCTTGGTTACTGTGATTTTCTTGTGTGAAAGACAAGACATCAGCATTGTGTTGGTCACTTTTATACATGTTCCGATATGACATTACAGCTGTGATGTACAATGTTTCTTGCTATGGCTCTGCAGTTATTTGCAGTTAAAGTTAAAAATCTTAAGTTTCATAATATTACAAGTCCTGTAAGTTTTTGTTCCCAAGTCAGAATAGTGTGAAATGAGGAGAAGCACTGTAGACAGGAATGGGTCTTTACAGCTGGACTGTTCTCCCCAAAGTCGTTATCACCTTGCCTCACAACCACTTTTGCCTTAATTCATTTTCTCTACTAGATATCATTGACACATTTTTGTCTCATGTCCAATTCCTTAGCTACAATGTGACCATATTTAGTCATTTTACCTGACCATCACCTGGTCATATGACCAGTTTGATGACTTAACACAATGTGGTTATGTCATATAATAAATCCCAGATACATAAATTTGAAAGGACATCAATGGGACACCAAACATCTTGTTCCTTTGAAGTATAGACAATCTGGTCAAACTTTCTAATTTCTTCAGTGAAGACATCAAATATTGATATAGGAAATAGGTGAAAGTGTTTAAACATTCCTTCTCTTTCTCATTAATCATTCCTAGTATTAACTTAAAACAACCATTATTTGACTGAATTTATTTCATGACATTCATTGATAAAAAAAAAATATATAAAATTCTTCAGTTGATTTATGTCACTGCCAGATGGCATGGCTGTTGTCTTGCTTTGTTTACAAAAGTTGCTTGTAAAACAACTTGGAAAGTCTAGAATTGAAGAAAATGTAACAGCATTGAGGAAATCCAATGTTTGGGTTACAATCAGAAGTTCTTATTTTATTCATGTCCATGTTTAAAAAATAATTAAATAAATAAATAAACAAGTAAATAAACCAAATTCTTTAGCTGGTTGGTATTACTGTCAGATTGCATGTTTATTGTCTAGCTTTTTGTTTAAAAAAGTTAATGTAAAAAGACAACTGTGGAAAGTTTGGAATTATTGAAAATGTGACAGCATTGAGGAAATCCAATGTTTGGTTTAAACTCAATGTTTATATTACTTCCTGTCCATGCATGATTGTTTGGTTGATACATTTTTAAAGACAAAAATACATTTTTTAATGATAAAGAGAAAACGTTAAATATATGACATGCCATTTGTAAATTTGTATATCTAACTGACATTGGCTATTTGTTAAGTTTTGCCAGTGAAAGTTTTCTTGTAAAACAAATAATTTGTTACTTGAAACTTTGAATTCCCGAGTGAAGACATCAAACTGATAAAGGTAATAGGTGAGAGTGTTTGAACAGAACTTCTCCTAATATTGAAGTAACTCATTAAGCATACCTAGTATTAAGCTAATACAACCATTATTTGATTGGATTTTTTGATGACTTCCTTGATTAAAAAAGTTTATTTTTTGACATTCATTGATTAAAAAAATAATTTAAATTCTTTAGCAGATTAATGTCACAGAATTGAAGAAAATGTAGCAGCATTGAGGAAATCCAATGTTTGGTTTACAATCAGAAGTTCTTATTTTTTTAATGTCCGTGTTTAAAAAATAATTAAATAAATAAATAAACAAGTAAATAAACCAAATTCTTTAGCTGGTTGTTATTACTGTCAGATTGCATGTTTATTGTCTAGCTTTTTGTTTAAAAAACTTAATGTAAAAAGACAACTGGAAAGTTTGGAATTATTAAAAATGTGACAGCATTGAGGAAATCCAATGCTTGGGTTACAATCAGAAGTTCTTATTTTATTCATGTCCATGTTTAAAAAATAATTAAATAAATGTATAAACAAGTAAATAAACAAAATTCTGTAGCTGGTTGATATTACTGTCAGATTGCGTGTTTATTGTCTATTTTTCTTTGTTTAAAAATACTTTTTGCAATAAAACAACTGTGGAAAGTTTGGAATTACAGAAAATTAGCAGCATTGTGGAAATCTGATGTTTGGGTTACACTCAAATGTTCTAATTTCTTCCTGTCCATATATAATGGTTTGGTTAATATATATTTAAAGACAAAAATACATTTTTTGATAATAAAGAGGAAATGTTAAACATATGACATGCCTTTTGTAAAGTAGTATTTCTAACTGACATTAGCTATTTGTTGGGTTTTGCCAGTGAAAGTTGTCTTGTAAAACAAAATAATTTGTTCCATTTGAAACTTTTTAAATTCCTGAGTGAAGACATCAAACCGTGATATAGGTAATAGGTGAGAGTGTTTGAACAGACCTTCTCCTAATAACTAAATAATTTGTACATGTATGGTTTCTCATTAATCATACCTAGTATTAACCTTACAAGATCATTATGTTATTGAATTTATTTTATTACATGACGCATCTGTTCATTGATAATAAAAAATAATTAAATAAATAAATAAACAAGCTTTATTGTTGATTGATATAACTGGCAGACTGTATGGATATTTCTTAGCTATGTAGTAAAACAAGTTTGAAAAGACTGGAATTTCAGTAAATGTTACAAAATTGTGGAAATCCAGTTTTTGGGTTACAATCAAATGTTCATATTTCTTCCTGTCCCAGATGTAATTGTCTGGGTTATATGTTTTCAGAACAGTAGAAAAAAACGTTAAGTAAATGACGGGCCTTTAGCAAATTGGTATTGTTTTTGGTTGTTTCTTATTTGATGAAATATCTTATTTACTAAATTTGATATCTTGTTTAATAAACTTGATATCTTCTTTAGTAAATAAGATACATGTATCTTATTAAGTTTAAATCCAACTGTGTAACCTGTATTTTAAATGTCAAACAAGAAAACCCCAACAAAATAAAAAAAAAAGCACACAGAGCAAACAAACAAAAACAAAGCCAAGACTCGTCCTAGAAAAGTTATCGACTTAGATGAACACAACTATTTTAAAACGGACCACGATTTTAGAACCTATGATATACTCTCCTTAACATTTTGACCAGTGAAAATCTTAACCAGTGTTATAAGCTCACCAAGCCCAACGGGCCAATTGAGCTTATGTCATAGCGTGGCGTCTGTCGTCTGTCCGTCCTGCGTCCTGCATCCATCAACTTTTCATATAAACAACTTCTTCTGAAATACCGAAAGGCGTAGAGCTATCATATTTGGCTGGAAGGTTCCTCTGATGAAGCCTAATGAAGTTTGCAAAAATAAATGACCTTGACCTATATTCAAGGTCACTGAGGTCAAATGTGTTAAAACCTTTAAACGGCTTCTTCCAGAATACCGGAAGGCCTAGAATCATTATATTTGGTTTGAAGGTTCCTTTGATGAAGCCGAACAAAATTTGCAAAAAGAAATTACCTTGACCCATATTCAAGGTCACAGAGGTCAAATGTGTTAAAACCTTTAAACAACTTCTTCCAAAATACCAGAAGGCCTAAAATGATTATATTTGGCTTGAAGGTTCCTTTGATGAAGCCCAGCAAAGTTGCAAAAAGAAATGACCTTGACCCATATTCAAGGTCACAGGTCAAATGTGTTAAAACCTTTTAAACGACTTCTTCCAAAATACTGGAAGGCCTAGAATGATTATATTTGGCTTGAAGGTTCCTTTGATAAAGCCCAACAAAGTTTGCCAAAAAAATGACCTTGACCCATATTCAAGGTCAGAGTGGTCAAATGTGTTAAAACCTTTAAACGACTTCTTCCAAAATACCGGAAGTTCTATAATCATTATATTTGGCGGAAAGGTTCCTTTTGATAAAGCCAAACAAAGTTTGCAAAAATAAATGACCTTGACCCATATTCAAGGTCACAGAGGTCAAATGTGTTAAAACCTTTTAATTACATTTTCTGACTATCCAAACCATCTGGGGTAGTGATATTATTCCAAAATAGGTTCTCAATGATGCACAGTATTATTTGAGGACAGAAATGACCTTGTCCCATATTCAAGGTCACAGCAGACAAATGTGTTAAACCTTTGAACAACTTCTGATTTGGTTAAAGGCTTAGTATCATAAGATTTGTCCAAAAGGTTCCCTTAATGGTGCCCACAAAGTGTGTGAAAAAATAGCTTGACCCATAATGATATTTAAGGTCATTTGGGTTAGATTTGGTAAAATAGTTAATCAACTTCTTCTGATTAACCAAAAACCCATCATATTTGGTCATTAAAGGCTTATATACAAATGACTTATTTTGGATCCAGGTGAGCGATGCAGGCCCTCTGGGCCTCTTGTCTCGTTTACAATGTCCTGATTTTCGCTAATTCATTACCGATATGTACTTCCTGGTAGGTGGGTATTTACACCCGTCTATAAATAAACGGACTATGATAATTGAAGCATGCTGTGAAAATTTCACTTGTACGCAGGTGTGTGGGAAATATCAACAACAACAATTTAGGTAGGTAAAGATATGGAATTATTGCTATTTCCTATTTACTTACATTTATGCTTTAAAGAAATATATGATATACATGTACTCAACAAGCTGACAAGGCGCTGTAGCTTCAGCTGTTGTACCTCACTTCATACGCTAGTTGTTGGAAAAGCAAACGTTATGACGTAGAACCACCAAGATGTACCTCTTTCACATTATTTTCGATAATCCTTTTTTGCTTGGTAAACGTTTTTTTAAGGATTTGATGTTGACAGTGATCGGTATGCGTCCTGGATTCACTACTGCTGTGTTAAAGAGTCTTTAAATCGCTTTCTTATGAGTAAATGGATTGGATGTAAGTAGACCAAGAAATAAGCAGAGAAACAGTTGGCAAGCTTAGACCCTGTACAACACATCAAGTTGTTGATACAAAGAACATCCTGCTCGAACGAAACCTGACTACAATCAGGACCCTTTTGGTCACTGAAATTCTTTAAATCATATGTTATAAAGACGGCCATATATATACATAAGTACCGACTTGGCTATTTTATTTGTTTATTTTATTCCCATTAACCCATTTAATAGTAATAAATCATAATTTTGTCATATCGTTATAAATGACACCACACCACAGCTTAAAGGCCTGCATTAGAGACTGGTAATACGATACCACGCCTTTCTGAGCCAACTTATCCGGGTGTTTGTTTTCGCGAATATGTACACCGAAGCTAGTTGAGATGATTGTTGAATTACTTAGGAGTATCCAGTGAACCATGAAAAATCTTCTCCGTAAATCGCTTGTAGTCTAGTGTAAGTTATTATAAAAAAATTTGACCATATCTGCTTCTATGATTATTTCGAAGGATTGTTAAATCATGCATCAGCGATGTAAATGAAGTTCAGGATTGTTAAGTCAAGGTCAAGGTCACTGATACTATTTTTAGAAAAGTAATTTCAGCACTCCTTGTGGGATTCTCAATGAACTTCACACACTTATAAAGAATCAAAATATCTTGGACAAGTTCGAGTTTTAGGATTGCTAGGTCAAGGTCGATGTCACTGTTGCTATTTTTAGAAAATCATATTCGGCGCTATATCGGTTTAGTATCTTGTGGGATTCTCATAAATTTTCACACACTAGTAAAGCATCAAAGTATTTTGGACAAGTTTAAGTTGTTGCGATTTTTATCAAATCTTCCACACTTACAAATAACCATAACATATTATTACAAAATGTTGATGGAAATGTGTTGTCATATTGTCATAATAATGTATTGCTGTTTCATATTGAAATCAGTAACACACCTATTGAGCACCTTTCTTTTTCTAAAATGAACACCAAGCAGCACCATCTTTATAAATCATTACAATGTTATAACTTGCTTCAGCGACACTCAGTATGTTTGTTGACTACACCTTTACCTTTTCGGAACGGTTGAAACCTTTCAAATGGATTTATTACGGTCGTACCTTTCGTTGGAGCTTGTGTGTTTCTTGTTTTGTAACTTGTATTGATGTTATAAAATTGTTTGTGTCGCCATGGTCAGACATGTGGTCATTTCTATCACATAACATAGTGTTGTCATTCGGTTAAATAAAGTGTGGCCAGCTCGTTAAACACTCATTTCTTACCCACCAACAGGAGTTAACAAGATTCAAGCACATGTCTCCTTCTGTAATCAATATGTTCTAGATTATCGTCCATTTCACAGAAAAGTATCATCTTTCATTATTTCTGAATGTTTCTTCCTCCCACGATTTTCAACGATGTCCTTGGTATTCGAGACTTTTCTCCTGCCGTCCCAAGTAGTAACCTGCCATAGTATAAGTACCAAGTAGTTACCTGGTATACTATCAGTACCAAGTAGGTACCTGGTATACTATCAGTACCAAGTAGGTACCTGGTATATTATCAGTACCAAGTAGGTACCTGTTATATTATCAGTACCAATTAGGTACCTGGTATACTATCAGTACCAAGTAGGTATCTGGTATACTATCAGTACCAAGTAGGTACCTGGTATATTATCAGTACCAAGTAGGTACCTGTTATATTATCGGTACCAAGTAGGTACCTGGTATACTATCAGTACCAAGTAGGTACCTGGTATACTATCAGTATCAAGTAGGTACCTGGTATACTATTAGTACCAAGTAGGTACCTGGTATACTATCAGTACCAAGTAGGTACCTGTTATACTATCAGTACCAAGTAGGTACCTGGTATACTATCAGTACCAAGTAGGTACCTGGTATACTATCAGTACCAAGTAGGTACCTGGTATACTATCAGTACCAAGTAGGTACCTGGTATACTATCAGTACCAAGTAGGTACCTGTTATATTATCAGTACCAAGTAGGTACCTGGTATACTATCAGTACCAAGTAGGTACCTGGTATACTATCAGTACCAAGTAGGTGAGTGTTCTACTATCAGTACGAAAAATGTTTCTGATATACTATCAGTACCAAGTAGGTACCTGGTATACTATCAGTACCAAGTAGGTACCTGTTATACTATCAGTACCAAGTAGGTACCTGGTATACTATCAGTACCAAGTAAGTACCTGGTATACTATCAGTACCAAGTAGGTACCTGGTATACTATCAGTACCAAGTAGGTACCTGGTATACTATCAGTACCAAGTAGGTACCTGGTATACTATCAGTTCCAAGTAGGTACCTGGTATACTATCAGTACCAAGTAGGTGAGTGTTCTACTATCAGTACGAAAAATGTTTCTGATATACTATCAGTAACAAGTAGGTACCTGGTATACTAACAGTACCAAGTAGGTACCTGGTATACTATCAGTACCATGTAGGTACCTGGTATACTATCAGTACCAAGTAGGTACCTGTTATACTATCAGTACCAAGTAGGTACCTGTTATACTATCAGTACCATGTAGGTACCTGGTATACTATCAGTACCAAGTAGGTACCTGGTATATTATCAGTACCAAGTAGGTACCTGGTATACTATCAGTACCATGTAGGTACCTGGTATACTATCAGTACCATGTAGGTACCTGGTATACT